AGTATCCATCGTATCCGAGTACGTGACTAGCGTTGATTGTCAGCAGCGTGTCGTTATTCAATAAATACGAAGTGTTGTGTGTTTGTTGCCCATGATCGTAGATTAAAACCGGCGTTCTTCATTATTTCTTTAGAGTCGCGGTAGTACTTTATGCTTCTTTCTGATTTTCAGTTCCGGTCAATACGTTGTCGATGTAAATATTGTTCTTTAGATCGTTGGCTATTTGCGATGACTGTGCTTCGAGGTTTGTTTTAATAACTGCATTCAACATGAATGGCGAACTAGTTGAACCAAATAAAACTGATTTAAACTGGTAAACTTCAAAGTCGCTTTCAGGATCGTCGGCGTTTTGTAGCCAGAAAAACTTCGTATATTGGCGATCTTCATCGGCAAGGTTGACATTCAAAAACGCTTTTTCAATGTCACTAGTCAGTCCAATTTGAGGTGTCCGGAAACGAAGCAATATGTCTAGCATATCGTTGGCGATAGCAGGACCGGATTCTAAACGGTCATTGAGGCTGGGTTGATCACGGTATTTAGCGCTACAGTTGTAAACTACTCTAACTGGAGTTGTTGACGACTGTTTTTCAACGGGGTGATGCTGGATAAAATGGCCACGTGAGATATCGTCATCAATTACCTTTTCAATAAATCCTCGGCGTAGTTGCTCTGTTATGACTGAATTGTAGACTTTCCGTAATTCGGGTTTAAGCCGTATTACCATTGCTCTTGTTCTGTTTGTCGCCAGTACATAATTTGTTGGTAGAATGTCACAATTTTCTTCCCATGGTAGGCCGGCTGTGTATTTATTACCATCGCGTTGAATTTTTGTGTCCCGATACTCTTCAAACGTTGTGGACTGTAGTAAAGAGTGGTCAACACAGAAACAGTAACTGAAGTTAAGACTGGTCAACACAGAAACTGTAGTAGAGACTGGTCAACACAGAAACTGTAGTAGAGACTGGTCAACACAGAAACTGTAGTAGAGACTGGTCGACACAGAAACTGTAGTAGATACTGGTCAACACAGAAACTGCTGTAGAGACTGGTCAACGCAGAAACTGTTGTAGAAACTGGTTCCCACATAAACTGTTGTAGCGACTGGTCATTACATAAACTGCAGTAAAGATTGGTCGACACAGGGGCTGTAGGAGAGACTGGTCAACAAAGAAACTGTAGTAGAGACTGGTCAACACAGAAACCGTAGTAGAGACTGGTCAACACAGGGACTGTAATAAAGATTGGTCAACACCTAAACTGTAGTAAAGACTGGTCAACATAGGGACTGTAGTAGAGACTGGTCAACACAAGGACTGCAGTAGAGACGGGTCAACGCAGAAACTGTAGTAGATACTGGTCAATACAGAAACTGTGGTAAAGACTGGTCAACAAAGACAATGTAGTAAAGACTGGTCAACCCAGAAAATCGTAGTAGAGACTGGTCAACACAGGGACTGTAATAGAGACTGGTCAACACAGGGACTGTAGAAGAGATGGGTCAACATAGAAACCATAGTAGAGACTGGTCAACACAGAAACCGTAGTAGAGACTGGTCAACAGAGAAACTGTAGTAGAGACTGGTCTACACAAGAACTGTAGTAGAGACTGGTCAACACAGGGACTGTAGTAGAGACTGGTCAACACAAGGACTGTAGTAGAGACGGGTCAACGCAGAAACTGTAGTAGATACTGGTCAATACAGAAACTGTGGTAAAGACTGGTCAACAAAGACAATGTAGTAAAGACTGGTCAACACTGAAACTGTAGTAAAGACTGGTCAACACAAAAACTGTAGTAGAGACTGGTCAACATAGAAACTGTAGTGGATACTGGCCAACACAGAAACTGTAGTAGAGACTCGTCAACCCAGAAAATCGTAGTAGAGACTGGTCAACACAGGGACTGTAATAGAGACTGGTCAACACAGGGACTGTAGCAGAGACGGATCAACATAGAAACCGTAGTAGAGACTGGTCAACACAGAAACCGTAATAGAGACTGGTCAACAGAGAAACTGTAGTAGAGACTGGTCTACACAAGAACTGTAGTAGAGACTGGTCAACACAGAAACTGTAGTAGAGACTGGTCAACACAGAAACTGCAGTAGAGACTC